GCCCGCGCGCCGCAACGAAGAGTAGCACCTGCTCTCCACAACTAGAGAAAACCTGCGCGCAGCAACGAAGACCCAACCCAGACAAAAATAAATAAATTTATTAAAATAAATAAATCCTGGATCTCATTTCTTAGCTATATGACCTTGGGGAGTGAGTTGGTCTCTCTGAACCTCCAAAGCTATAAAACGGGGATAATAATACTTCAGAGTCATTGGGAAGCACCAAGAATAGCAATGAGCACACAGCCAACGCTCAACAAATGGTAGTCACACGTGCCGAATGCCTACCACATACCTGACACTGTGCAGAAAATAAAGCTAAACACCACTCACGGAGGAGAGGCACTATTACAGCATTTTTAAAATATCAAAACTCCAGAAGCTACATACTATTTAGCAGTCAAGCCAGCAATCACCCAAGTCTTTCTTGAGATGACGCCTTAGCCCGCACTTCTGCAAAGTCCTCTGGGCAGCTGGCCCTGGGGTGAGAAACTGGGCCAACCTACCATTATGAACATCCTCCTGATCTGAGGCTGGATGCAGCCAAGCCTAGAAGGGCTGGGTCTTCGCCGTGTGTTGAACATCATGCCCCAGAGTCTGAGAGAACTGCTTTCTCCACGCAGCACAGGCTGGATGGGCTGGCGCTCTGCCTCCCATCCCAACTCCCCAACCAGGGGTACTTCCATGCCTGCTGATCAGGGGCCAGTCTCTCCTTTCCAAGGCCCAAACAACCTGCCACTGTGACCCAAATGCCAGCCAGGGGCAGAGCCCTGTGGGAGAACACTGAGAGCCCCCGCTAAGTGTGAGGCATTTCTAAATGGGGCACCAACCCTTAAGAAGAAGTAACCAGCAACAGGGCATGTCTGAAAGGCCAGGCAAATGGTGTGGAAATTAAGACGGATGGAATTCAAGAAAGAAAGGGGCAAGACCACTCTAGGCTGGGGTAGCTTGTCTGTGACCACCAAAGAGAGACCGTCTAGGTCATAAACTCACATACCTACAAGATTTGGGCATGTCGTGAAATTGAAATAGGCTCATGTCATAAAATAGGGGGTGGTGGGGACACCTTTGAATTGGTGGCTTCTGACTCTTGCAACACAGTTGGCCCACAGTTCCCGTTTCTAAGCTCAACTGGTGTCACTGAAGAGGGAGCTCAAAACCTACAGAATTCCTGCCAAATCATCTTAGCAGGGGGGTCTTAGAGGCAAGGAGATGGTTGAGGAATACAAAGAAATGGGTATCTGTATGTTCACCTAGTGCAAATGTGTCTTTATGGTTTCCATTTTATACTAGCCTCATTCCTGGCTCTATTTCGTATCATTATCTTTCTCGGGTATCTTTGAATATTCATCATCCTTATTTTTTTTTTTCTGTAAGAACATTTCATTATTAATCAAAAATTGAGAAACTTATACACAAAACTTATTGGAGTCGCCACTTCATCTATCTTTGTTGCAAGTCATTCATCTTATTCCTGACCCACACTTGATGATTTCTATGGTCCACACTTTGTTTTTGGAGAACAATTTTTAAAAAGAGCCATTAGTGCTTCAGCCTCATTTAAAACAAAACAACAACAAAAATCACCATCATTACTGTATTATAGATTTTCCTAAACAAAGTTTAGGGTTTATTTTGAGACCAGAAGAGCAACTTCTCTGTGGTATTACAGGTAGAGAAAGTTCCTAGATTTCTATCGTATCTCTAAAAGAGAAACCACAAGGATAATCATAGTTGCAGTCTCTAAAAAGGAAAATAATGCTGGAGTTCATCAAAATTGAATTAAATCATTTTTCCTTCCCCAATCCTAGCCTCATTCAATCTTTTTTTTATTTTCTGATTTCTCAACTGTTAAACCTTTAAGAATGCCATATCACAACCACACAAAGCTACCCAAACATCTGTAATATAAATAGGTCACTTTATACTTGATTCAGACCAGACATTTTGCTTTTGGCTAAAGGCAAAGCTTTACAGAGGAAAGAGCACGTTGAGACTGCTAACTGATCTTCATTCCTCCCAAACATTTTACCATAAACATGACATGGTAATGATGACCTTTCTCCTGGCTGCACTCTACTGTCACTACCAACAGCTCTCATTTCTCAGGGCAAAGGATTTATAATGTTTTAAATATTTATTTTGGCTTAGTCAGGTCTTAGTTGCGGCACTCAGGATCTTTCGTTGTTGCGGCGCACGGGTTTCTCTCTAGTTGCGGTGCACAGGCTCCAGAGCATGCCGGGTCCTGGCGGCAGGTGGGATCTTAGTTCCCCCACCAGGGATCGAACCCGCGTGCCCTGCATTGGAAGGCGGATTCTTCGCCACTGGACCACCAAAAAAAAACAGTACTCCAACTGGTGCTTTATCTATGATTTTGAAACCAACATACAATAGTAAACCCAAATATCACTCTACTGTAGATTTTTTTTTTTTGACAGTCTAGGGTTGTATTTTTTTTTTTCCTCTTCACTGCGGTGTGCAGGCTTCTCACTGCAGTGGCTCCTCTTGTGGAGCACGGGCTCTAGGCGCACGGGCTTCAGTAGTTGTGGCTTGCAGGCTCTGGAGCGCAAGCTCAGTAGTGTGGCGCATGGGCTTAGTTGCTCTGTGGCATGTGGGATCTTCCCGGACCAGGGCTCGAACTCGTGTTCCCTGCATTGGCAGGTGGATTCTTAACCACTGCAAAACCAGGGAAGTCCCTCTACAGTCGATATTGCTTGTGTTTTATCTAAACATTCTATAGTTAAAATGCATTGTCTTGGGCCAGAACTTGGTCAGAATTACTTGGACAAAATGTTTGTCACCCACAAACCATTCCAGTTTATCTGGAGATTGGATTCACCATCTCTATGATTTCTGGCTTATGGGACAACGTTTTACTTCTCATTCTTTGTATTTTCTTAGCCTCGCATTGGCTGGCCAACAGCCAAGTCCTCTGCACCAGTCAGATGCTGCTTCCACCCATAAGCATGCTACAGTTGCAGTCCAGCCTTTTTTGGTCTTGCTGCCCTGAAGGCAGGGCAAACCAATCGAATCCAAGTTTACCTCAATTGCAAGCAGGCAGGGAATTTCAAGGACCATAAATTTAAGATTTGCCAACCTCAGATCAAGTTACAGGTCATAAAAGTCATTTGAAGTTGTGAAAACATTGCTTGGCTACTGAGGGTGAGAGGCATTTTCCTATGTTCACAGGCACCCCCATGGGGTCCTAAAACGGGAAATGAAATCTGAACATAAAGGCTCTCTTGTCAGTTCTCCAAATGACATGAGAGAAAGCAGCAGTACCATTTTAAAATCATGTAGCTAGAATCTGACCCATGTTAGTATCCCAATCATGTCTTCCCTACCTTCCTTTGGTCACTCAGTCTAAAGCATTACCATCCTGCTATTACATCTTCCTGATAGACATACGGAAAATGTAAGCGTGTTTCTTATATCCTGCAATCTTCCTGATAGACATACGGAAAATGTAAGCGTGTTTCTTATATTCTGCAATCTTCCTTTCATCTTGCACTATGGTTTTCATGGGGAGATGGCAAGCAATTCTGGCTTTCTCAGAGAATGTATCTTCCCAAAATGCTATTTTTACCTAATTGGTTATGTTGGTTGGAGAGTAAATAATTTAATGGTGTGAAGGGTATTGGTATCTTACTGCTTTATGAAGTAGATGTATTAAAGTAAAATGAAAAAAAAAAAATCACAACAGGTTTAAAGATAAGATGCTTTTGTAAAACACAGGTGATTCTCAAGAACTTGGGTAGATTTTCCACTGGCTTTTTTTTTTTTTTTTTTGCGGTACGCGGGCCTCTCACTGCTGTAGCCTCTCCCGTTGCGGAGCACAGGCTCCGGACACGCAGGCTCCGCAGCCATGGCTCACGGGCCCAGCCGCTCCGCGGCATGTGGGATCTTCCCAGACCGGGGCACGAACCTGCGTCCCCTGCATCGGCAGGCGGACTCTCAACCACAGCGCCACCAGGGAAGCCCTCCACTGGCTTTTAAACTTATAAGCTACAACTATATACACCCCGAAAAGAGCAACTTGTAAGAACTTCAGAACAGTTTCTCAGCGGAGACAAGTCTTCAAGGGTACGCATGGTTAATAAAAGTTTTCCTCATTTTGCCTCCTCAAAGCGCCCACACCACTAGATTTTTTTCTTATGGTAACTTTAGCCAGAAAGGTTTACTATAAGCCTATTAGGTCCCCTCAAAGATCATAATTTTCTTTTGCTCAGTAGTTATTTTAAAGTAAGCATTTCTGCAACAGTTCTCCAAGAACAAACCAAGTAAAAGTGGTTGCATTCATGAAGCATTAAGTCTCAAGCAGTGCCCTACAGTTGTGCTATTTCTTCATTATCCTTCTTATTTAATTTGCTTGTGGTGCTTCTAACATATTTAAGAAACATTTGCAATAGTGGTTTTTTTTTTTACAAGTCTTTAATTAAAAAACTCAACAAAAATATATAATCAAGCATTTTACATAATGCATACATTCTTAATATCTGCAGGTAAGATAAATAACAGAAGGCAAAAGCAGATATACTAATTGTATTGCTTCTCTTTGGCAAGTCACCAATATTATCCCCTGCAGAAACATAGGATAAAATGTGTAAAAAATAAACAAAAAGCAAAAAAAAACCACCACGGTCTTAAAATAATTGTCCCTTAGTACAAACAACAAAATACTTAGCAATAATGCAAGTAGATGGATTTTTCAAATTGACTAAAATTTATTATAATACTTTACTTATACCACAGGGGTTAAAGTAGCAAGCTGCTTTCCAAAATTAAGGCCCACAGCAGTAGTTAGGAAAAAAAAAAAAAAAGACACCCTTTTTTTCCTGGTTATATCCTGGCTATTTTTCATTTAATAATGTCACATTCAAATTCTACCTCTCAGATGCCACTCCTAAGGAAAACAAAATCCTTCCCTAGACAAAAGCTGTTTTACTTGAAGGTCAGTTGTCTGACCACCCCCCAACCAAATACACATTTTGTTACGAGGCATTCAGCTTTCTTAAGTCGGTATTTACCATCTAACTCAGTGTCCCAGAATAAAATTCCTTCCACTTTATAGCAAAGATACATATTGTGGCTCTACTGAAGCAATATATACATGTTGGAACTAAAAATCAGAAAAGCAAAAGGGTCCATTCAACACACAGCAGCTTATATCAAAATATATACATGTATGTATATGTTTTCACAGTTAACATTTTAGAAAAAAATTTACATTTGATATGTTCAGAAATATTTCTCCTAAGGTCTATAAATAATATTTTAAAAGCTCAACTGATCAAAATGCAATACAAGAATGTATCAAATTAAATAAATCTCCTAAACCTTGAAGTCAGTAAAGCTTGAAGTTTGTGTAGTGTGTTGTCAGTCCCTAATACTAGGGAAGACAGCATCCTCTAAACACGGTAGGAGAGGAACTCTAAAACTTTGGAAGGAATCGGCAGCTCCTGGACTTCTTGAGTGGGCATCACTCTCCGGATTGACATGCGACATAAATGTTGAAGGCTAGGGACTTGCCTTGGAGTGGCCCAAAAATACACACTTCCATCATGTGTCCTAAACAGAAGTAAACAAATCACAAGCTCAGTCACACAAATCCATGTATTTCATCATCCCAAAGCTCATACAACTACCACCGAGGCTGTGAATTAGAGCCACAAACTGCACATTAAAACCTAATTCAGGAGACCCGCCCAGTGATCTCCCTCTGTGACAAATTAATAATATTATAAGGAGCCCTTATGGAAGATTTACTGACAATAAAATACAGGCTGCTTTGGCTAAAGGCCACCTTAAATTGCCTCTTAAAAGAAAACAGAAAAATCACTTACCCAGCAGCTAAAACACTGCCATCAGTAGAAAAGGCACAGCAAAGACCATTGCTCAAAGGTGCAACTTGCACTGGATAATCCTCATCAATTCTCCAGAACCTCACCATTCTGGAAAGGAAATAAACCATCCAGTGATTATCTAGTAGGAAATTTAAGGTAAAAGCAACTTTTAAAATTCAGAAAGAAATGCCACTCTGTGCTGAGTCACAAACACACACACTTCTGGAAAGGAAATAAACCATCCAGTGATTATCTAGTAGGAAATTTAAGGTAAAAGCAACTTTTAAAATTCAGAAAGAAATGCCACTCTGTGCTGAGTCACAAAATACACACACACACACACACACACACACACACACACACACACACACCCCACTGCAGCAATGACTGGAACTTGCTTTATTAAAGATTTTATACCAATTGGTAATTTGGATTAATTCACACTGAGAGACTATAAAGCATGGCTGCCTTCACTTCCCAGTGTTCTGATCTGTAATGCCCACAACCGGAAACTTTCTCCTTACTTCCTTACACTTAAAATATAATCGGTATCTCATCTGTTTGACTCTTTTCAAGAAGTTTATGAAACTTTTCACCTAGGTCTAGGAATAGCAGATAACTGATAGTCAGAAACTAGCTGAACAAACAGGAAAACAATGGCTGCTAGCAAATAAAGAACTCTCCCCATAAGTTTGCGAACGTTCTAGAAAGATGGTAATGAGTCACTTTCTGAATGATGTGACCAAATTGCTTAATGCTATATCCATGCACATTGATAAAAGTATGAGAAAATGGAATGGCTACATCTAGTTTTTGCTTACCAATAAGCAGCAAATCTCACTCATGTGACATTTCATCTTTATAGTCTCAGTTTCAGTGGATACAAATGACTCTGTTTTAATCATTTATTTCACTTTGAAAATGTTCTTCTGTTTCAACCTTTATAAGATATTACTAAGAAAATCTGTCAGCTGAGCTAAAAAGCTAATTAAAAATGCACCCAGTTTGCCTGAACCAGTTAACAAACAAAGAACATAGGGAAAGGCACGCATTATCTTTAGTTTACATAAATACTGTTCAGGCCAATATTCTTTAAGACACATCAACATCTCCCAAGGTCTTGTCTAGAAAAAGGGCCATTAAAACCCAAACTGCAGAAAGGCCATAGTTTTCATCCTTAAGAATGTTTTTCATTAAGTAGAATGAAAGGAAATCTTTACAATAATAAATAGGTCAAGCTGTAATTCACACACTTACTTATCATCTGCAAGACTTGCAACATGCAGTCCGTCATGACTAAACGAGACAGATCGTACCCATCGGTCATTTGCTCCTCCAGCAAATATGGGAGTAGGTGGGGGAAACAGGTGTCTGAGGTCAAAGACATGTTTTCAGTGGAAATGAGTCACTTCAAGAAACAAAACTACCCAGGTAGAGAGTACATCAGTCTTTGGAATAATGTGTAAAGTGGCCTTAACAAACACAACTGAGAAGACTGAGCAGAGCTAGTCTATCCACTTTAAACGAAGCGATTAAACCTAATTACTAATCGCCATCTTACAAAGTGGTTTAAGACTAAGTCCAACTTTAGTTTTAACTATGTTTCCCAACAGGAAACTCTAAATATAATTACCACTTCTACAGAGTCATGCACTTTTAAGTAACAATAACAAGATCTGTGTCAAGAAAGTCAAATTTATTTGTAGAATTTAGATGCATTATTAAAGGGCCTAAATGATACCGAAATTTTAAATTATGACAGAGTGCAATTTTAGATTTCACATGTTAATGATCCTAATCATCCCCATGACTTCTTAAAAGCTATACTGATAGTAGAGATGAATTACAGACTAAAATAATTCATGCTGTACCCACCCAAATTCCATCAGAACGTCTCCAGTGTGTGGATCCCAGATATAAACTCGAGTATCATAAGATGCCGTAGCCAGTAATGCTCCATCAGGAGAAAAGTCACAAGCTACAACATCATGGTGATGCCCTTCTAGTTTCCGTATCATGGTATATTTATCCATATTCCAAAGGAAAACCTGCAAAAAAGGCAAATGTTATAGCTTCATTCAGACATGCAGAGGACAAAATGGCACATCTTAAACTAAAACTGCTAAATTTAATTAAGATTACATTAAATTAAACATTATAAATTATGAATAATTATGAAAGAATATGCTCAGTGTCATAGTCCAAGATTAAAATCAGTTTTTAAGTTAATTAAAGTAAACATGCAAATTCTATTTCAAATGTTTCTGTTAAATGTTAATTTAAAAATAAGCCTAAACACAAAAAAGGCAATGCAATTTAACCACAAAGTTATACTGACATCCATTTATTCCAAAAACTAATTAACTAAAATACACAGAAATAAATAGGGTTAAGTACTACAAACCCCCTTCTTTTTTTTTTCCAGAAACTACCAAATTTTTAAAAAATATACAGACAGAAAATATAAGGTTAACAAATTGTTACTCCATTGGCATCTCCCTTTGAGATAATCACTTGTTTACAATAGGCTTGGGTCACCAACGTGAGCCTAGGAAGAGAAACAGATACTGCAAGCAAAGAGAATTTTTCAAAGCCAAATGAAATTTCTTTGGCAAACAACAAGGACGTTAAACCACATTACAAAATGAAAATACTAATTTACGAAAATAGTACAATTAACAACATTTCTGTGAATCAAGATTTGCCAATCTTATTTTTCCCAAACCAACCACAATCATTAGTCATTTTAAGCATAGAACATTTAAATTACTTTAGTACAAGTTCACACATAGTTTTAGATTCTGAAGACCAGTAGTTATACTGTGCAGAATAGCTCTAACAGGATTCTGAGGCTTACTTCAACCTGTTGTATTACACGTGAGCTTGGAGGTTTATTACATCCTAATAAGACAAACTCTCCTCCTCTCGGAGCAAAGCCGTCCTTTTTGCTACATTTTTCTGCACAGACACAGCATGTTATTTCCAAAGAAAAATAAATACAAATTTTACATTGGCTCAAAGACTTAAGATAGCTCTAGTATCTCAAAGAATTCCAAAAAATAGCACAGAGAAACCATTTGAAAGCCAACTACATTACATTAAATTGGTTTCACATGTTAGACTCCCAATTTCACCAGACTGGAAGATCAATTACATCGCAGGAGTCAGTTGGTTTCACTGTGGGGAAAATTATTTTTAAAAAGAAAAAAAGAAAGAAAGAAAAGCAGAAAGTGGACATCGACCAGCACCTGTGTACGTACAGTACACCTTGCAGCCGAATGCAAGGTTACTTCATCCTATGGTAAAGGTCGCCCCCAGCCCGGTAGCCAGAGATGCCACTCTTTCTGCCCAGCTAACACCATTGTGCGCCTGTGTGCGAGTGGTGCCAGCATAACCTCAATCACACCAATATTGCTGCCACCACCTGTGACAGGGAAAGCAAGAAGCATATGGAAAACACACAGCCTAAAATAGCAATGTCAACATCCAGCTTTGCTCTTCTTATGATTTTTAAAGAACTGAATATTTTTTTCTAAACTGCCAACATTTTCAACTATCATTTTAACACACTTCTTGGCTAAATAAAATGCATTTTAACCAGCCTCCCACCCCCCATTAATTCAAAGTGTATTGTGGTCATCACATGTATTTGGACTTCAACCATTTTCATAAATACCTGAAGCTAATAAGATCTCTTTAACTATACTAACTCAGAGCTGGTAGACACTAACTAAAGGAGGGTTCATCAATAAGCATAACCCTCTTAAGAGTCACTTTATACTTAATCTGTCTACAGGTATGCTATGCAAGACAGATCTTATCAAATTTAGATGAAATTCACTCCAGGACATACATGACTGTTATTTTTATTCTTATTAGATTTTTAAGTTACTTTTTTTCAGTTAAATGTCCAGGACCAGCTGGGACTTAAAACTTTAAACAGCAAACTGGACCAAAAACAAAAAGAACAACAGAGAAGAAAATAATTAGCAAGGGAATGTCTTAACATTTGGACTAGATCTCTTCTATAGCACATAAACTCTCCTAGATCTGAGAAAAAATAAAATTGACATACCCCTCATTTTATGAATATCACCTCTACCTAAGACAATCAAATTTCTCACTTTACAATCAATAACTATACTTATTTAATTTCCCTCATGCAAATTCTCCCCCATCATGAAATAACACATTTAAGATATTGAAGACACCGAGCAGACTTAATAGGTTGCTTAGATTTAAAATGATTATGCACACATTATTATAATCCAATTCACAGTAAGTATACAAGAACTCTGACACATACTGCTTTACTGGCTCCCACTGAACACAGCATAGAAGAGTCAGGAGAGAATGCACAGCTGTACACCCAGTTCTGATGGCCCCTCAATACTTTCATCATGTTTCCTGAACAAAAGGAAAATACCTGGGTTAACCCTAGAATCTACTGCAAATAAGTAGCATTTCAAAAATGGCAGAATCACAAACTTCTACAGAGGCAGTGATTAATCTATTACAGGGGTTGGCAATATACAACAATTGCTTACTTTTGTACCTAAGTTTTACTGGAACATGCCCATTGTTGTGACAGTAGAGTGGAGTAACTACTGCAGAGATAGCATGGTCCACAAGCCTAAAATATTCACCATCTGGCCCTTTAAGAAAAAGTCAGCTGACTTACAACTGAAAGTATGTTGAGAGAGCAAGTTCCATATGATATGCGAAAGAAAATAAAATTTAATTTTCAAATGTTTTAACTATTGGGATCCCTTCACCCCTCAATAGCTGAGCAATCAGAGAATTGATAAATGCAGAAGAGGTGCCACATAATTTGGTAATAGTATTAGTGTATTATTCTATCAGGCAATGGTTATTACCCATAAGCTGAAACAAGTCTCCAAATCTGAGGGGTTTGTTTTCTACTACATTCAATTTCAGCTACATTTCCCCAAACAAGCCTGTCAACTTCTAGCTTGAGGCTGGTAGAGCACTAGCAGATCTTAATTAAATATATGGTTTTAGTTAAAACTGTAAACTGTTTCATCAGAGGCTAAGAAGGGGGAAGAGATGCTCATCTCAGGTCTTCTCAAACAAGGTAGACTCTCCAAAACTTTGTAAAAGGATCACAATTATCAATGTTTCTGAAAAAGCTAAAACTTGACACTGATATTCCTTTTACTATATTGGAGGGCAAATCTCTTACTTTTTATAATTCTTACTTAAACTACCCAACTTATTATTAGTAGTATTTACATCCTATAAATTCTGGTGTATAAATCATGTTTGAATTTACATTTTATTAATTACTAAGTTATATCTTTTGTTAGGTCAAGATCTACTTAAATTTTCACTAAGTAAATGAAGGAAGTTAATAATCCACCCCAATATAAAGGAAATAAAACACAGACCAGTTCAAATAAAACCCTAAGACTGATCCAGATTTTGTCCTCAAATAGTTGGTACAGATCTGTGTAGTTAGTTTCTGAGTAATATCAGATTGTTTACTTAGAGTAACTGCTGGCTCCTATTCTGGGTCACATTTATGGTTTTGTTTGATCTGTACAGGGAAAGGGACCAAAGGACTAAGCAGAGAAAAGGAAACTTCGATCATGTCACTTTTAATGTCAAATGCCCCAAGTGTTCGTAATACCTCTCAGTAGTAATATCCAGAAACTAATTCTTTTCCACAGCCTAAAAAGAAAGACATACCATCATCTTTCAGGTCCCACACTCTCAGAGTTTTGTCTCTTGAAGCTGACACCAGGATCAAGCTCCCATCTGGAGCAAAAGTTAAATCTCTGACCACTTCAGTATGATCTACCAAGTTAAGGAGGAGTTTTCCTAAATGCAATGGAAGGCGGGAAAAAGACAATGTTAATAATTTTAATCAGCTTCCATATTAAAAAAATAGGGTTGAGATCACCATTAAAAAAAAAAAAAGAATAGAAATATCTGGGTACCTCCTTAGTTTACCAAGTGTAAAATGACTTATTTACTAGTGCCTTTACTATTATCTTTAAAGATTCAGTATTTACATTGTTACAAAATAGATTATTTCCAAGATACCAAAACCTAAATTAGAAAAATTAAAAAGGAATTCCTAAAATGTGAAAAAACTCCTGGATCAAGTCAATTTAATATCAAGAAAATCTACATCATTTAAAAATCTTTGTATAGTATGATTTTAAAATACAAAATCAAAATTTTCCTTTTCTTTTACTTGGCCTAGACTACGAATGGACTGTCAAACTCCCCCAAAGATACACGTTATTCTATAACGGCCTAAATTTTTAAACATAATCTTGATGAAAAAAAGGTACTTTATTCATCTAATATTATAGAGTTTTGTTCTTCTATGAAAAGCAATGTGCTTACCTTAAATGTCTTCCCAGAATTCAAATTTACTGACTCATTATCCATACTCAGTGTTAGTATCACTTGCTGTGTTCTAATGTACATAGTTTTAATGCTCATTTAAAACAATCCTTTAAATTTTGGAGTACATACTATCAGCCAGAAACTATTTTAGGTAGTGAACAACACATTTACTTTTTAAAAATTTATTTTATTTTACTTTATTTTGGCCGTGCTGCATGGCTTGCAGGATCTTAGTTTCTGACCAGGGATCGAACCCATGTCGCCTGCAGTCCTAACCACTGGACCGCCAGAGAATTCCCACAACACATTTATGTTTAATTGCCCAAAGAATTTAACTTCTCAACCTATCTGGTTAAACTTTAGATAAAATGTCATTAAAACTTTCCAGGTTAGATAATGATTGTTGAAAACCAGATTTACCTTGAAAGCCTCCAAGCTATCAATCATTGAAAAAGTATATAAGAAAACACCTTGCAATTTGAGTCATAAACTCAATTACCAGTTTATAAGTGATAATTAACTAAACATTCCTTAGATGTGCCCTTCCTACTATAATATTCTCTGAAGAGTGATTAAGCAATATGAACTCTATTTTCCTAAATTAAAACTATGAGCTGAAGATGCTATTTAGGCCAAATATAAAGATACATTCATAGCATCAATTCTTGCTTCTCTGTGAGTTAAAATCCTCAAATTATGTATTCTTCCAGTGCCTATGAGCTATGCTTGCATCATCAGATAATCAGGTTTGCTTTCAAAACTATGACTCCATACCTGTATATACATCCCATATTTTGATACGCCCATTGTTTAACCCTGTGGCAAGGAGTAGCTGATCTTGTCCAAATCTGAATCGATGCCATTCTATGTTTACACAGCGACTCTGTTTTTCTGGAACTGAAGATCCAAAAGCAAGACTCCAGACTATATCACCACAGTCTATAATATGTTCACGAGGCTTATTTTTTTGACCACCATCACTGTTTTGTCTTGACAATCTTAAACTGCTTGAATTGGTGATATTCTTGGTGCCATGCAAGAGACTGGGTAGAAAAAAAGGTCAGATTGAAATCTAGTTATTATTTACTCTGGACTCATGTGAATACTAAATAATGATAAGTGTTTGTTAAAATAACTTCAGTATTATTATAGTGATACTGAGTAACAACAGAATCCTTATAGATGGGAAGAGGAAAAGTTGCTACAAGCTACATGGGCATGACCAAATAAATTCAGACTAAAAGAAATCCTCAGTGTATGAGAAAAAGTTCAACAATAAAGCAATTTATAATTTATTCATTTCAAATTTTCAAATTTGTTTTAATATATCCTTATTGATATAGAAATCCTATCTCAACCAGGACTCCTTTAATTAACCCAAAAGTATAAAGAAGCAAAAAACAAAACCAAAAAATTCTGAGAACATTAAGATATTGTGAAGCTGACACCAGAAAACTACCTTAAACCCCATAATAATCAGTAGTTTCCCATACGTTCTAGACCTAATCTAATATGTAATAAGGACATTAATGACGAAAACCATAAAGGTGAACTAAGCACAAAAAGGAGGGAAAGATTAAATTTAGTAGATACATTTTAGAAATTGCACTACCAAGGCACAATTAACCTGCCTTTTGATATATGGAAAAGAAAAATTTAAAAACACCAAAGTATCTGAGAAAGTATTCTATAATATGTAAGGCCAGACAATTCTTCCCACAAATTTTCCAACAAATATATTCAGCTTATGAGTAAAATTCATTTACAACAGTCTCCAAAGGAAAAAATTTAAATATCAAAATAATCTTATTATTCCACACAGAGAAAAAAATAAATTCTAGAAACAGATAGATACAAAATACAAAAAAGAAAACAGTCTTACAAGTTCTTAAGGCACTGGGACCACGGAACAAGCTTTACTGCACGATGTCCTTGTGACCAAGCAAAGTATGAACCATCTGGAGCAAAAGCAACAGTCCAATTTTCACGACCACATTTCTTGTCAAAAGGAGCCGCAGGAGCTAAAAGTTCACCTATAGTACGTGATCTCACTAAAAGAAAAATAAAATATATAGGATATCATATATAACCAACAATGATATGAGACAGCATCCATATTACTTTGGGATCCACTCAGCTCCACTGAGTTTTTCCTTTTTCTATGTAGACAAGGTACAATGAGTTCTGCATTCTACCCTTTGAGGGGAGATGTGTGGTGTGAAGACCCCGTAATGAGAATAAGCATCTTTAAGTTTTGATAAAGTGATTTTCCTAAAATTTCCCAAATCAAGAGCTTTTTAAGAAAGTTAAAAAAAAAAAAAACTGGTCAAATAACAATAATGTAATGATCAATCAGGGCTAGCAATTACTGAAGTCCTGACTTTTGCACTTCCTTACGTTTTCCTCAAATTACTAACATTTAAAATGCAAGAAACTGAAGTTGCTCTGCAGGAAAAGTATCTTCCAAAAAGTTTGTAGCTTTCAAAAACCATGAACCACTATAAAATAAAGTTTTATATCATTATTCAAAGGAAGCACTATAGGGACTTCCCTGGTGGCACAGTGGTTAAGAATCCAACTGCCAATGGGGGGAACAGGGGTTCGATCCCTGGTCCGGGAAGATTCCCACATGCAGCGGAGTTAACTAAGCCCGTGCGCCACAACTACTGAGCCTGTGCTCTAGAGCCCGTGTGCCACACTGCTGAGGCCTGCGTGCCTAGAGCCTGTGCTCCGCAACAGGAGAGGCCATCGCAATTAGAAGACTGCGCACTGCAACGAAGAGTAGCCCCCGCTGGCCGCAACTAGAGAAAGCCTGTGAGCAGCAACCAAGACCCAACACAGACAAAGATAAATTAAAAAAAAAAAAAAAAAAAGCACTATAAAATGGTCTAGTCAAAACATGAAGTCAAACATGAATATTCTTATCTTTTTCAAGTCACAAAAAACACAAAATCCTCAGAAGTAGAAGGAACTTAAAGGTTCCTTAGTCCAGCCTCCCCAACCAGTGCTTTAAAATGCACTGTATTTGGGACTTCCCTGGCGGTCCAGTGGTTAAGACTCTGGGGTTCAACTGCAGGGGGCACGGGTTCGATTCCCAGTGGGGGAACTAACATCCCGCATGCTGCTTGGTGCCACCAAATAAATAAAATGCATTATTGTTATTTGTGATTCTCGAATAGTGGTCCTTAAGCATCTTCCTAATGGGCCACAAACTGACCCAAAAATGGAAGTAATTCTTTTGGTTTTTAAGGACAAAAAAAAAAAAAGAACAAGTTCATATATTTTAAATTTAGTTACCAGAACTTAAATTTAGCATTCATAACTAAAACTGGCATATTTGGGATTTCCCTGGTGATGCAGTTGTTAAGAATCCGCCTGCCAATGCAGGGGACACAGGTTCAAGCCCTGGTCTGGGAAGATCCCACATGCCATGGAGCAAGTAAGCCCACGAGCCACAACTACTGAGCCCGCGCGCCTAGAGCCTGCCCGTGCTCTGCAAAAACAGAAGCCACCGCAATGAGAAGCCCGCGCACTGCAATGAAGAGTAGCAGCCACAAATAAATAAATATACTTTTAAAATAAAATAAAATAAAATAATAAAACTGGCATATTAGAGTGTACAGAGAATTTTTCTTCTGCCTTTAACAAGAAGGATAATCAACAAGTTCCTATTGTACATGTGCACCTGCAAACGCGGCTGCTATTTCCTCAATTCTGGAAAAGGATCTTTTTCTTTTTTGGCTGCATTGGGTCTTCGTTGCTGCGCACGGGCTTTCTCTAGTTGAAGTGAGCGGGGGCTACTCTGCGATGCGGTGTGCAGGCTTCTACTTGTGGTGGCTTCTCTTGCAGAACACAGGCTCTAGGCGCGCGCGCTTCAGTAGTTGTGGCTCGCAGGCCCTAGAGCGCAGCCTCGGCAATTTTGCTACTCTTCCTTTTTAGTTATAAGTCACCTTCGGTTTAGTTTCCCTATTATCTATTTTGTGATCTGTTGCGTGTTCAACTCTATGGTCTATTTTTATGTTTTGGGCTTAAAGTTTCCAACAACTAAACTTCAATATATTCTACATTCAAATGAGAACCACATATACTCCTATTGCAAAAACAGATATATATATATATATATATATATATATATACAAACCCCAAAAATGTATTCATTCAGTGACACTTCCAGTCTCCACGTGTGCTCCACCAACAGGGAGTGTAGCACCTGGCATGTAACAGGGGCTCAGAAAATATTTATTGAACGAATATGAAAGCATGTGTATAAGCTCCCATTCTTTTTTTTTTTTTTTTTC